TATATATTTTATACCATCGTTTACTATACGATCTATACAGTAATTTGGAGTTTTTTGCAATATTCCTTCTAAGAAATGAAAATATATTATCAATGTATATATCATACTTCATTGTTCAAATAATTTAGTTTAATGATAAAGAAAATCTGCATTTTATACAACAAGATAATGAATAATAAAAATGTCATTATTTATATTTCATTTTTTTAAATAACAAATATATCTTTTTCGTATATAATATTGGAACAAGTATAGGAAATCTTCAACAATGGCAACAAGTAAAAATTCATCTGTGATTAAAATCACAACACTTACATTATTCAATGCAATCAACGTAAAGGTGCATACTTTTTCGTAACTAACTAATGACTGACTGAATTTTACTTTTATTTTACTCTCGAATAAAATTGTCACAATTCTCTTTTTGTCTATGTCGTACGAATCCGTGATGTCTATAAGATAATATTTTCAATCATAGGATTGAAATCATGCGACTATCCTTTCCTCTTCTATAATTATGCAATTTGCAAACATAATAATTTTCTAATTTTCTAAACAATCGACCCCTTGCATTAATTTTATAACACAAACATGTTAGCAATATGTATGTCTTTACTGTTGTCTACGTCAATTGAAGTTAAATAGAATTCTTGATAAGACACTATATTTGCGATCTATATCTTGCATTGTCTCCATTCTTGCAAGTGGTAGATAAAAGACAGCATGGATAATATTGACCAATTTGATCAATTCTTCAAAAATTCGCATTACAACATTGTTCGCTCGCTATTAAGTGTTAGCGGTCTATGGCCTTTTCATACGTTAAGAAGACGCTGCGCTATATACCTCGCAATGATACTCGTACTCGGATCTGGATTTACGTTTGAGGTAAATTAAATGTTTTCTCACATTTTAAAGTACCATATTTATATTTTTTAAATTTTATATGTGTCTAACAAAAACTGTAAAATTTCAATATTATGTCCGGCGGTAATTCTGTTGTTAATTCTAGTGACATTTATGGTATACGTATATACAGATTTATATACACATACATTCGATTTTAAGTATACTTGGCAATACATGCATAATTTACAATCGGACAGTTTAATTAATATTACATATGTTATTATTATGTTATTATAATGTATTGTAGTTTCTATTATATATATATATATGATTGTGTTATATGATATTTAGATAATATAAATGATGGAAAATATAGGTATTGGGAGTAATGGATATTTGGCATGATTCTTTTGAAGTAATCGATGCTCTGCCATTATTATTTTTTCCTGTAGTAAATATGATTAAAATGATTTATGCAGTGTATACATTACAAAATGTACGTAAAAATAAAAGTAATGAATGCTGACTAATAATAAAAGCGATAGCGAAAAATGTAGAAAATAATATGTGATTTTTAATTGTAAATTTTCTTTTACAGATAAAACTACTTCTAATAAATATGCAAGAGTACTGTCTTTCCCCAAAGTCGGACAAGGAAACTAAAATATATAACTCGCACGCGTTATATGGGCAAAAATTTGGATACATTTATACAGGTAAGTTTAACGATTCAATGTAACAATAATATAGTGTAGAAAAACAATAATAAAAAGATTCGAATATATGTATAAAAGTGCATATAAATAAATACATACTTATATTATATAAAAATTCTCTTTAACAATAATGAACGTTTCGATCTTTCTTTTGAATTATTTTCAATATGTTACTTACCTTTGTATGCTGAAAATAGTCCAAAAGAAAGAGTGAAACGTTCATTATTATTAAAGAGAATTTTTACACAATATAAGTGCATTTATTTTATTTTTACTTATTCGAATATATTTTTACATAAATTCAATTTTCTAAATAATTTTTTTTTTTAAAACATACACACACACACTTAGTATGTTACAATAATTTTAGATATTTTTGAAAAGACATTTGACTTTTTACAATAATCGTATATTTCTTTGATAATAATAATAAATTATAAAAATTTGACTTTTTATATAAATTAGGTCTCGTACTTTGTCACCCTATTATTTTCCAATCTCTGACGTTAATGACCAGGCTTATCAACAAAAAGGAAAACGAAGAGAAGAATGCGTCGTCAACTGAAGCGCAGGGGGCCCAAATAGGATTATCTTATCACGTAAATTATATGGTTGATATAGACACGTACTACGTTCCAATTTTCATACACACGGCTATATGCGAAATGTCTTACACGTTTCTGATAGTTGTATTTGATGTCCTGTATATAATATCGATCGAGCATTGCTGCGGATTGTTCGAAAGTTTGAGGTGAGAGAGTATATGATGGATCTTGTCGGTTTATATAAAATCACATGCACACGAAATTTGCGAAAATGCGTATCGTATATGAATAAATAATTACTCACCGCAAGTATACGTATCCGCAACAAAATAATTGCCCCACGTTATCGTTTTTTAATATTTAGACAATATGAAATTTCAGATATAGATTAGAAAATGCTTTCAACTTTGAAAACAATAATAATAATTTAACATTTACAAAGAATTTATCTTATTCAAATATTGTATATAGTATCCAAAGACATACCGAAACAATGCAGTGAGTATTTCTAAATGAGCATTAATATCTCTGTTAAATAATAATAATGTAAAGTAATATCTTCATGTACATTACACTAGATTTATTGTCATTATGAAGTCGGTATACAGCTTACCTCTCTTTATACAAGTGGGATATCTTGTATTAGCTTTAAGTATTGTAGGATTTCAGGTATATATATTTGATAAAATTTCTAGTGACACTTTTCACATATAATTTTATATCATACGCAGAGAGAAATCATTTAATACAAATTATATAATGCAATTAATTAATTTAAAATTAAATGTAATTAATTTAAAATTAAAATTTAATTTAAAATTAAATGTATGAGATTTTTTATATATCATACACATAGTTTATTATTTATATTTTGCTATCTTTTTCAGATAATAACAAACACGGAAAACATAAATCAGGTTATAAAACATACTGCTTATATGAATGTACTATTAATCAATATATTTTTTGAAAATTGGCAAGGTCAAAAAATCATAGATTCCAGCGAGAAAGTATTTGAATCCGCGTATGTTTCGTTAATATCAGGATCTAGTAAAATCTTTTGTAATATTTTTTTATAAAATCGCTCGTCATATCGCGATAAAAATGTAATATACAGTCATCAATAAATGGAATTTCATTCATGGAATAAACCACAAAAATCTTGCAAAATTTGCAGATATAATGCAGAGTGGTACAATATGCCGGTAGCGACAAGAAAGCTCCTTATAATGATAATGATGACAAGTAAAAAACCATTGATGCTTACTATCGGAAAATTCTTCGCATTATCATATATAACTTTTAACGCGGTAAGTATAATTATTTTATGCAAACACGCGATGCCTCAAAATAAAAATTAAAAATTAAAAAAAATTTATTTAAGGTAATACGAACATCATCGTCATACTTTATGCTATTACGATCTGTACAGTAAATATTTTAATCGTAATTTACATTTATATCGATGCTTTGATAACTGAAGAGAAATACTAGTTTATGTAAATAATTTAATAAAATTCTAAAACAATCGTTAATTTTTGAATATAAAACATTTTTTTAAGAGGAGAAATCAGCATTTTAGCCTGCTGAAAATTATTATAAATATTTGTAAACAATTTTCGATGTAAACAATTTTTTACTTCGTAATGGCTGTTACTTTATCGTCAATAATTCTTTTATATGTTATAAAACTTTTATAAATAATACCAATATTTAATAGTAATAACTTGAATAACTAAGATTGCACGCAATAAAAGACTCACATACAAATTTTTATTAATAGCAGTAAATAAATCAAGCAAATTGGAGCATTTTTCACTTTTATCACAAAATGTAATTTCTTTCAAGGTATAAAAAAAATTAAAATCTGCCAAAAAATTGCACGTATATGTAGAATAATCTTTCCTATAATTTGCAATTTATACGATTCTCTCTGATAGTCTTTTAGTATCGAAAATCTTTACAGCAGTGCCAAGATATAGAGAGAATCGAGAGCTCCTTTTATTGTCGTCACAAAACTGCTGTCTTTCATTTAATGCAGTCAATGTAAATTGCTTCGAAATCTGCAAAAGAGATACTACCTTTGATCCTGGATATGTTTGAGTATAGCCAGCTGCGTACAATTTTACAATTTGTACAAGACAATCTCGTAATTTCGCGATCGATCGCAAATGGTCTCTAACAGTAGTTACTTGTTTCATAGCACAAATGCGTTGACAACACGTGCATGTCGCATAAACGGAATCTCTTATGAGGGACCGATCGATCTTATCTATACTCTCGCGTAAGTCGAGTAAATTTTGCTTGCTCAAAATCGACAGCCGCGATTAAAAAAAGAAACATGCGTAATGTCAACGAGTTCTTCCGCGAATCGAACTACAATAATCTCCGCATTCTGTTAACTATCTGCGGTGTGTGGCCCTTTCAAGCGTTCGCTAAACGTTGCGCGATGTACGTCGCATTTACGGTTCTATTTGTATCCGTGATGATATTCGAGGTACATCGAGAGAAAAAGAGAGCGAGAGCGAGTGTTTCGTCATTTCAAAAGCATTGTGTACAAGGTTGTAAAAAAATATCTGTCGCAATTTTCTCAAATAAATGTACACTTCTGTTTCCTTGTAATATTTTGCGCGATACACTTTTTTCTTTTTTAAATATTTCCATATCAAACGGGAAATGCAAAGATTCAACCGAGGAAATTACGACGATCTTTTTCTTTCTACACTTTGTACACATTACTATAGGAAATTAGAATTATACTAATCTTCGGAATTGTAATATATTTGTCACAGCTGGTGTGTTTGTTCAAAGTCTGGCCAGATTTTTTCGAAGTGTTCGACTGTCTGTCGATGCTATTTTTTTCCATAACGTCAACCTTTAAATTGATCTACACAGTGTATAAATTACCTAAGGTGCGTAAATAAAATCGGTGCTCTAATCATTTTAATTGAAAAATTGAAACACAATTAAGATAACAATACAGCGTTATCGAGCAACATCGTATTTAAATTGACTTCGAGCTACAGATGAAGACACTTCTGCTGAAAATACAAGAGCATTGGTGTTCTCTGAAGACGGACCAGGAAATTAAAATCTTGCGTTCGTATTTACTGTTCGCGCGAAACTTAAGCTACATTTATGCAGGTAATGTAGATAAATTCATCGGTTTAACGATACAGCAATAATAATACAGATTAGATTTGATCAGAAAACGTAGAATGTAAATCTGAGAAAATATTTTATTCTTGATGAACTACACTATACATATTCCTATTTCAATCGAAAATTCTGAAAATATATCTTTTAAAAAACTGTCGACTTTATATAATTTTATACTTACATCCTAATGTTAATGTATTAATTAGTTCAAGAGAATTACTATCCAATTTTTTTAAAGATTTGACTTCTTATAAAGAATATCTCTTAATATATTATAAAATAATACATTATAAGTATATTTTATTTTCATTTCCTTCCTAATAACAATAATTACAAAGCTCAACCATCTCTAAGATATAAACATTTTTGTATGTTAGCATCATGATTGACTTACTGACTTCTACGTATCGCACGCGACGTAAGAAAAAGATAATCCGTCTAAATCTTTATCTCCATATTTACAGAAGATGTTCTACATATCCTTTTTCCATTTCCATACACGCTTGGCATCTTCTTCTTACAGAATCCCCAAATCGCAAAGATCCACAATCGCCGGTTGATGACAACTGACTGATTGCCGGTGAAATCTTCTGTTATAAAGTATGTATGAAAATTGAATAAAAACATTCAGAATGCGATTTATAAACACTGAGGTAAACATCGCATGCGACACATAGAAGCCAGTAAGTCAATCATGGTGCTAACATACAAAAATGTTTATATCTCAAAAACGGTTGAGCTTTCGATCTATGTTTATTAAAGTTGTTTTACTCAGTATGATGTATCTTATCTACCATATAAATATTGAATGGTTTTTTTTCCCCCCTATATCTGCACAATTATTAAAATCCAGAAATCTAATATTTTCATATCTATCAGGTACTATTGTTGGCCACGCCGTGATTTTTGCACTCACACCTTTGATAACCAGACTTTTCTACGAGAAATCCGTTGGGACAATCGACGCGTCAAACCAGACGCAGGAAACACAGCCTACCTATCGCATCAATTACGTGCTTGATTTACAAATGCGCTATATCCCACTTCTCATACAATGCTCTATATGCGAGGTATATTACACGATATTACTGACCGCGTTCAACGTCTTTTATTTGGCATGCGTCCAGCATTGCTGTGGCTTGTTTGCAGCTCTGAGGTAAGTCTGACGTATCCGCGAAAGTATTTAATTCTCAAGGCCCTCAAATTCACGTATTTAAATAAAATTTGTTCTCGTGCATAATTATGTATTAATATGCATATTATATATAAAGAATATCGACATATGCACGATATTGAATTTTAGATATCGTTTGGAAAGAGCCTTTGAATCTGAAGACAATGGTGACGATTTAGTAACGACGTTCACGCAGAATAAATCTTATTCAAATATTGTGTACAGTGTTCGAAAACACGCAGAGGCAATACAGTTAGTATATATCTGCATGTGTAATAAAACATGGTCATAAATAATCAATAATAACAAATTGACGTGCCTTTGTGCATTACACTAGATTCGCTATTGCCATAGAATCACTCTACAGATTACCATTCTTCATACACATGATAGTTAACGGATCACTGTTAAGTATCGTAGGATTTCAGGTAATTTAAATAATTAATAATTATATATATTATGTGTGTGTTCACAAGCAATCACATATATATATATGATTAAAAAATTTCTAGCTAATGACAAATAAGGAAAACATCAGTCGCCTTTTGCCGTACGCTAGTTATCTCAACGCGCTTATGCTTAATACATTCTTTGAAAATTGGCAAGGTCAGAAGATCATAGATTGCAACGAAAAAGTGCATGAATCCGCGTACGTTTGATACAATAGCCGGAGTCCATTTTTCTCAGCACAGATGATAAATCGTATCGTGTGTCCGTTATAAATATATTATAGATAATATAGATACGCGAATAAATTAAATTAGTTTTGTATACATGTACCAAAAGCTATACGAACAATCGATTTATCTTTCGCGCCGATGCATCAAACTAAAAATATATTTGGCTTGAAATCTTTTAGAATGGATAAACGTGTGGGTATAATGCGATTTGTGTTTGCAGATACAAATTGCAATGGTACAGAATGCCTGTAGTATCGCAAAAGCTTCTGATAATGATCATGATGAGAAGCAAAAAACCACTGACAATAACTGCAGGAAAATTCATTGTGTTGTCCTATGTAACTTTTAACGCGGTGAGTTTACAAGAGACATCCGTCTATCTTTATCGCTCTTTCTGTTTTAATAATATGAAATTTTATTTAAGATAATGCGTACAGCTTTCTCATATTTTACGCTTCTACGGTCTGTGCAGTAAAAACGTGATCGTGATAGACAATTTAGGAGACATATTATATATAGCAGTCAACATGATTTAATAAAACAAAAATTCGTTCACTAGAAGATACGTATCTTATTATAAACTTTCAATGTATCTTCCATACAAATATTTTATGTAGTTAAATAAAACTAGAGAAAGAATCGCAATCGTACTTATATTCGCCTTCTCTTTCCTAAATACTAGTATTAATCGCGCCAAGAATACTTAAATACTTCGATTCTATCACGCATCTTTGTCACAGGTGATATCTCTCCGAGTTTTGATCTATTGTAATTGTATAGCTGTAACTCACGAGTTGTCGAGCAAACGGACAATGCCTGTAACTGTTGTCACTGATAATAACTTTCGAGCTGCAACGCTCACTGCATAGAACAGAGAACGGTGAAGTAAGAGAACGACGTGCGCACGACCTTAAAGAAAGAAAAGGGAAAGATAATCACCGTCAACGTTTGCGGCATCAAATGTTATTCGAAGAAACTCGCTTACTGCAGCAAAGTTCTTCAAGTTTAGAGTATACAGCTTGCCCGCAGTTATCTTAATCGGCACATAACTCCTCATTAGCATAATGGCGATCACCTTCTTCACTCTCAGCGAAGATTGATACCATTTTCCGTCGGTCCTGAAAGATCGACGTGTCAAATAGTGTTTCTTCATTGAGGTCTATCTATTTTATTGGAATCATTATTTCTGGCAGATCTGTATTTTTCGTAATGCAATACTACAGATCGAGTATACGCTAATGATCTGAATACGTTTCCTGAATTGTGTTTCCGTGTACTCACGTGTATGCAAAAATTTTATCGGTGTAGTCCGATAGTTGCTGACCCGGCCAGCTTTCGAGAAAAAGAACGGAAAACAAGCACACCGTGAACGACGCGAATCGCAGAGCCTCCTTTGGATCGGTTAGCTTTACCACTGCCTAACGCGTAAATATATAAGAACTTTTTGTCGTATAGATATAATTATAGGTATAATGATTTGCATATAGGTATAATTATAAATGTCTAAAAACATGTTTTATTCTAATCTTGAGCAGAATGATGCAATCTTAAAAAGATAGTGCGTAGAAATTTAAAATTTCTTAATGTTATAATTGCGAGAGTTTGTACTGTTTCCAGTACTAACCTGGAATATTGTGAAAGTCATGCCCATCATATTGAAACCTAGTTGAAAAAAATACGATGTCGTATTCGCATTTTCGAGATGTTTAGCGTACCTTAATGTCCGAGAAAAATTTATACAATATATTAATAAAAATTAGTACGAGCTTAAAATATAAATCAAACATATGCAATAATTATGAACGATATGTATATTGAAACAAATAGATTAGATCAATCGATTAAACAAAAGGGACAACGTTAAGTAATTTATTCGTAAATGTAAATTTACGAATTTCACTGCGCATATAAGATAGAATAAAAAACATGTCGCAATTTATTTACATAAAAGATACAATAAGGTATACTAAATAAAAAACGAGGAAATACATAAAAAATATAGTAAGTATATTCAGAAATATACTAACTCTATTATGTGGTTGTGCATGATTACACAATTCTTCGCATTTCTGTACGATGCAGCCTCTTCTCTATTTTCCGGAGACAAATTTATATCTAAAGTGGCTGTATCAATAATCCGTGCTAGTCGGTATCTAAAAAATGCTCATTGATAAACGTATCTTAGGCACAATCAAATCCAAAAATGTTGAAATTTAGTTCAACCGCATTTAATCGCACGACGTCGATAGTCTTAAAATATTAAAAAGTTTAATATACAACATCATGTTCTGATATTGTACTGGATGAGATGAATTCGGGTAAAACGTACGTATTAATAAGACATTTTATGGACAATGATAGATGTTTATTACACAATCGCTTTCTCCCCCTCGTTCAATCGAATTACACGGCAAGAAAATGTATGTTCCTATATATACTGAAGAGATTTATATAAAACATAAGAAGCGAGTGTTTTTTTTCCAATATGAAATGAGACAAACATCTGTGGAATTTCTCGACGTATTATGAAATATGCGCTTCAGATGAAAATGCTGTTCAGTCTTACAAAGTGTGCCATTATTGCGGAGTTACCCTAAGATCTCGCACAGCCCGCACTCGTGTTGTATGTGAAACACCAACATCGAGTCGATCGCTACGACGATCGTGACGAATCCGAGGGTGCCGATGTACGAGTGCACCAGCAACGAATAGTAATACTTCTGCGAATCTATAAAGTATTCCGTGCGGAACATCAAGGGTCTACCGTCGGAAATGTTATACAGACCCATATAACTGGCTGTGTTTATTAACACCGGTACAACCAGAAAGGGAGTCATTGAGCCATACAGGGAGACTGTAAATAATGTATCAATCAAGGGTCGCACCCTACGACTTGTATCGATCTGCTTAAAGGATACACGCGATATTTTTTAACTCAATTTAAAATATTCAAAAGTTAATCATTATTTTATATAAATTCTACACTTGTGTGTATAATCGACCGAAATGCAGTTTTTGGAATCTCTAAATACAATGTCGTGGAATTTTTGATATAATCTTTACCTGCGTAAGCAATCGTGACTTTTCTGCCCATCGCGTAACTTTTACACAGGATATCGTACTCGTAGCTGTACTTTGAAAAAATATTCCAATCTTCCGCCATTACAATTGTGAGTTTCTTCATCTATATTTATGAACACCTTTAAGTATCGTACAACAAAGCATATTAATGACGTCGATTCTTCGAAAATAAACATACCTGCCCATGATTGTATGTATAATTAATGTGTTTACAAATGCACATTAAACTAATTACAAAAGGCGACGAACTTTCCATAAACGCGTCGATATCATTTGCGAACCATGCGGTGATCATGCCGCCGCCCTGCAAAATTTCTCAAAATTGGCGCGAGAAGCTACGTCTAATATCTAACATCTTATTTAAGATCTTGCAAAAATGAATTCGGAGAAATCTCTTTGGAAATATTATATGTATACTTTTACGTGTATATTTTTTTTGCGATTTTAAACTCATCGAAAAACGTTGAATCCTTCCATCATATTGTCGTTCTCACAAAATAATCATAATTCGCGCAATTGAAAATTTTGAACAGCATAATTATTATATAATAACATTATTTTTATATACTTTAGATTTAGATAGAAATCTAATTTCTGATTTGAAGAGAGAGAAACATTTTTTCGTTCACCGTTAACTTCTTATATATTTTTATACGTTATTAAATTATGCTATTATAAATGTGTTATATTAATTAATGCAATTTATATATGTATATTCTTTGTGTGTATATATATATTTCTATTTATATTAACTTTTTTGTGTATATATGTAACAATTTTATTTTTAACAGGAGTTTAGGAAGACAAGAATTTACCTGAATAACTGCCTGAGAGAAAACCGCAGGCACGAAGACGGTCTGGATCAAAAATTTTTCCCAAGTCTCCTGATATGGCCACTGACCGATGAGACACATTAACATATGATTGATACGCATATATTGGCCTTGAACACTATCCATCTTGACTATTCCGTAGCAAGTATAACACTGCACTAGCGACCGGACAAAAACGCGCACGCGGGCAGAAGCCTTATTAAGCATTCCGTTTGGGCGACGCGCAATTGAGAAAAATAGTACCGCAGACACGGAATCGGATCAATACATCGTAACGTGTACTTGAAGAGAGAAATTCTCCGTTTTTTATAATCCAGTACGATACGAGGGGTCGAGTTAAAAATTCTATTCCGCGGAAAGTTAAAAGTGCATACGCAACGCTTCGCTTGAATCTTGTGATTGTTTCTCGTACAAGCAGAAGTTAATGTAAATTTTGCTTCAATTCATTTTCTATTGTAGTAATATTGTTCCAGGATTTGTTCCGTTATCTTTTCGTACTTTCGCGGAATACGCTTTACACGATAGTGCCCCTCTATTAGTACTTACTGCATGATACATGCAAAGAGTTGAAAGAATTATTTGTAACTCTATTGTAGATTTGAGAGATGGAGATACATCATGTACAGAATTGAATTGTTTTGAATAACCAGATAACACATGATCAAACATAAGGGTAATAATTCCGATACAGATATAAAAATGCTTATTGAAAATAATGGTATTCTATAAAAAAATATATTTACGCGCGCACAATAGTGATGCAAATGCCACAATATCGGTTATACAATTCGCATCTATTTAATAATCTTGATATTATTATAAAAGCACAGCTTTGAAACAAAGAATAATTTATCGCGATCGCTTTTCATTTCAGGTCAAATTTTCTAGCTCACGGTCGATGATTGCTGTTTCTTGGTACCATTGACATCACGTCAAGTTTCAAAAAGGAGAATCCGTTATTGCGCCGAGCGTAGGAAAGTGAAATACGATACAGCAGTTTTCACAATCTTGAAGAAAAGAACGATCGACATTGTAAGTATAAAAAATAAAATATAAAATTGATTACCCATTATATATGTAATGAAAAACCGATCAAAAAGTGTGTTTCAATTATATCGGAATACGGATATATAACATAATTAATTTTTCCGGATAAATATTATTAAATATCATGTGTCGTGTAATTACAAGTTCGGAATAGTTCATCTTACCGTAGCGAATGTTTCCATGCATAAAACAAACATACCGCCGGCCGTTAATACACAAGGCGGATGCGTTTTCATCATCATGAAAAGTATGAGTTTTTTCGTTCTGGCCGATGCATCATACCAGTTTAAATTTATTCTGCAATTATAGAAGAACTTTCTAACAGCTTTCATGAGCTATTCAAATTTCGAAATAAATTGTTATCATCATGCACTTCCTATTATAAACATTATTATTTCCCGTCTATATAATTTAATATTAATATTAATCATATTGCTCTTTTTTCATGAGTACATTATACGTACAGATTAGTATGAAGATATCCGCTATAATCTATTAATTTCTGAGCATTCAAACATTCGAAGCATAGATGGAATAGTAACGCCCACGTTACTGCTATTAATTTAAGAAGCTCAGACGGGTCGTCCAATTTTGTCACAGCCTAAACGACAATTATTAATTGCATCAAAAAGTGGCCAAATAAATTTTGTCGCAAAGATGCTATTATAAATATCCAAATGATAATTAAATATGTGTGTGTGTGTGTGTGTGTATGTGTGTGATAAATAGGATAATGATATTTATATAATTATTTATGCGATGAGAGTGTTTATTCGCCTTTGCTTCAATGTATAAATAAATCTTAAATTCGCGAAATTATTTATTCGATCGTTCATTTGACGATCTATTGTCAAATTAATTGACGCGATATTCGTTATTGATTATATTACCGTAACAATAAATACGAGACGCACACATACCCCAACACCCGTGATGCTTATAGTTATCATGTTGAGTCCAGCATGAAACAAAAAGTGCTTGGAATATGCAGCTTCTATGAGATCGACGAACCTTAATTCAAATATAAGAAAAATGTGATACGTCTTGCTCGATATTACAAAAATTGACCAATTAAGAATATTCGCGAGAGATGCACATTATTTGAATTTGTTTCGATATTTAGAAACAAACAAAATGTTTAATATGTCGAATCACTATTGACCTATATTTTAAAACTGTTTCATAAAGCTCATACGATAATTGAAACAAATATTTTATGTGTGTATTGTACAAAAATATCAATTATTTTTACTTTAAAAATATTTTTTCTTTTTTTTTTTTTTTTTATTATATACAAACAGTATTTTTTGAAAGAGAAAAATATTTGGAAACATAATGTATAGATATAAAATTAAAATCCATTATAAAATTTTAATCTGCGACATGTATAAAAGAATTTTTGTTATGGATCAAAATTGTCTCAGAGTCTATTCTATTATTCGAGGATTAAATATCCCAATGATAAAATTATAATGATTGAACCTGTGCAAATGACACAAACCTTATAGCAGCTCTATGATCCTGAATACACAGTATCATATTTCGATACGCTTTATCGTCCGTAATCGGAAGATTGGCGTCTGTCAAATATTTTTCCTGTAACGCTCGTTGTATTCGCGAGCTATAGGAATAATGACATCAATTTCAGAGATAACTCTTTCGCCAAATCTCTCTTCCAAGGGAGAAACTACTACTCACCCAGTTATGATAAACAGTCCGCAAACGTGTTGCACAAATATCAAGAATATCGCATCAGTCGCGATGATGGAAGTGACGCAAATTACAACGGTGAGATATCCATGAATTAAAATCGGAAAATAATATTTGTCCATGTCGACGTAATATTCGACTCTGTGCAACAATGGACGAGTCGTTTCATTAGCAACGTGGAAAATTAACGGTGGCAAGGGTGTCAACATAAAAATTACCGTGACTGTGTACATCGCATCTAAAAAGAAAATGTCAATCAGAGATATGAACAATTTTTAATTAATTGAATAAATACCAAACATTTTTTGTGTCATATTTACTGACAAATATAAATAGTCGAGAATTTTCTGCCACTGTCCGCGCACTTTCGAAGAATTTCTATATCCCTGGAATTACTCAACAAGTAAAAATCATCTCGTATTCGACCGAGCAATGTCCTCATCTGTATATAAATTCACTTATGTAAATTACTTTTGAGTAAAGAATTTGAGTTGACTATACTTTGAATATATTACGTCTAAACATGAATAAAGGCGATTATGTTTTGAGAGAGAGAGAGAGAGAGAGAGAGATACATGATAAACAAAATAATCGCACCTACCTTATTCACGCACAGCATGGAATTCATTATTTTTGTTATACCTGATATATCAATCATTATCGGAGTAAGGCACTCGATTACAATGTCCATGTCGTGAATATAGGAGAACATGCCGCATAACTTAAACGTGGTAAATATTATGATTACGCGGAAAAAGAATAATTATATCCAGCACAAGCGAGAATAAGCATGATAGTTTGCGGATTTATCTCTCCGAAATAAAAGCGATATAACATTAATTGCCGCTATACCTTCGTAAGAAGTTGCGAACAAGCTATAGTGGCTATGACGATGACTATAATATAGCTCATCTTGGGCGATTGGTAAGGCCACTGGCCAATCGCCGATAACAGAATTTTATTGACTTTGTAGTTGCGACTATCAAAGAAGTCCATTTTCCTTAAGTTAATAGAGCACTGAGAGAGAAAGCATCACGCTAGCCCTTTGATCCCTACCACGTCCACTAGTCACATCTTACAATGTTAGCAATTCTTTATGTAGCTCGACTTTTCAAACAATTCTGCCAATTAGATACTTATAGCCAATGCGAATGATTGCTGAAACGTATATAGCTACTTCTGTGGTTTGACGTTTGCCTACGTACAATAAAATCATCAAAATTTTCTGCCACTTTGTCTCTTTATTGCCTATCATTTCGATTGAAGAGGTATCAATTTTCAGGATATAATACTTTTTCATCTGATATTGTCTTGATTCGCATGTGAATCTTTCATTATTACGCGTCGACGAACTGAACAGCGTGTAGAGAGAAAAAAAAAACAAGAGGCTGAAAAGATTTAATCAATATTTCTATTATCATGTATCGACGATATACATATACATAATTTTTCCATCAGAAAACCTTGCAGTTCTTTTCGTGAGAAAAATTTGCAGAAAATAAACGCCTAATAAAGAACGTCAAACATCGCGACACAAATATGGGAAATCGTAATTTAGTATGTATGATTACTTATTAAATTATTATTATACAGGAGGTGTTTCTGAATCCGTGTTACAAACTTTGAGGGGTGATTGGACTCAGTTAACTTTTTATAGTGCGTTATTAATATTATAATATTATAAATGCATTATATTAATTAATGCAATCTACATATATTTTTGTGTATGTGTGTATGTTACTTCGTTGTCTATTATATTTACCAATTTTATTTTTAACAGGAGTTTAGGGAGACAAGAGTTTATCTGAATAACTGCCTGAGAGAAAACTGCAGGCACAAAGATGATTTGGATTAGAAATTTTTCCCAAGTCTCCTGATACGGCCACTGACCAATAAGACACATTAGCATTTGTTTGATACGCATATATTGGCCTTGAACACTATTCATGACTATTCATGATTATTGACTATTCCGTGGCAAGTATAACACTGCACTAGCGACCGGGCAAAAAACGCGCACGCGGGCAGAAGCTTCATTAGGCCTCGTTTGGACGACGCGTAAATAAGACAAATAGTACCGCACACGCGGAATCGGATCGATACATCGTAACGTGCAATTAAAAAGAGAGAGATAAATATTCGGCAACGTACGCAATATAGCTTTTCGTAATCGAATACAATACGAGGGCTCGAGTTAAAAATTCTATTCCACAGAAAGTTAAAAATACATGCAATGCTTCGCTTGAATCTCGCGATTGTTCCTTGTAGGCAGAGATCAATGCGAATTTCACTTTAATTCACTTCCTATTGTCATAATATCCAGAATTTGTACCGCTATCTTTTCGTACTTTCGCCGAATATTCTCTATACGATAATGCTCCTCTATTAGTACTTGTTGCATGATACATGCAAAGATTTGAAAGAATTATTTGTAACTCTATGGAGATACATCATCTATAGGATTGAATTGTTTTGAATAACCAGATAACATATAATCAAGCATAAGGCTAATTATTCCGACATTGATATAAAAATGCTTATTGGAAATAATGATAGTCTATAGAAAAATATATTTACGCGCGCGCGCGATAGTGATGCAAATGCCACGATATCGGTTATACAATTCGCATCTATTTAATAATTCTGATATTATTATAAAAGTACAGCTTTGAGATAAAGAATAATTTATCGCGATCTCTTTTTATTTTAGGTCAAATTTTCTGGCTCACGGTTGATGATTGCTGTTTCTTAATACCACTGATACCATGCCAATTTCACTTTTAAAAAGGAAAATCCGTTATTGCGCCGAACGTAAGAAAGTGTAATACGATACAGCAGTTTTCAAAATCTGGAAGAAAAGAATGGTCGACATTGTAAGTACAAAAAAAAATCAAATATAAAATTGATTACCTATTATATATGTAATAGAAAACCGATCAAAAAATATGTTTCAATTATATCGAGGTACGGATATATAACGTAATTAATTTTTCCGGATAAATATTATTAAATATCATGTGCCACATAATTACAAGTTCGGAATAGTTTATCTTACCGTAGCGAATGTTTCCATGCATAAAACAAACATACCGCCGGCCGTTAATACACAAGGCGGACGCGCTTTCATCATCATGAAAAGAACGAGCTTTTTCGTTCTGGTCGATGCATTATACCAGTTTAAATTTATTCTGTAATTATAAAAAAAACTTTCTAACAGCTTTGTTGAGTTATTCAAATTTCGAAATCAATTGTTATCATCATACACTTCCTATTGTAAACATTATTATTTCTCGTCTATATATTTTAATATTAACCATCTTGCTCTTTTCTCATACATACATTATACGTACAGATTAGTATAAAGATATCCGCTATAATCTATTAATCTCTGAGCATTCAAACATTCGAAGCATAGATGGAATAGTAACGCCCATGTCACTGCTATTAATTTAAGAAGCTCAGACGGATCGTCCAATTTTGTCACAGCCTAAACGACAATTACAATAATTGCATCAAAAACGGCGAAATAAATTTTGTCGCAAAGATAATATTATAAATATCTAAATGATAATTAAATATGTGATGAATAGAATAATATTTATATAATTATATATGCGATGAGAAGGTGTTTATTCGCCTTTGCTTCGATGTATAAATAAATTCTGAATTCGCAAAATTATTTATTTGACCGTTCATTTGACGATCTATTGTCAAATTAATTGACGCAATATTCGTTATTATTATTAATTATATTAACATAATAATAAATACGAGACGCACACATACCCCAACACCCGTGATGCTTATAGTCAGCATATTGAATCCAGCATAGAACAAAAAGTGCTTGGAATATGCAGCTTCCATGAGATCGATAAACCTTGATTCAAATATAAGAAAAATGTGACATGTCTCGCTCGATATTACAAAAATTGACCAATTAAGAACATTCGCGTGAGATGCACCTTATTTGAATTTGTTTCAAAATAAATGAAATGTTAACCCTTCGTCGGTGGATACATCGAATCACTATTGACCTATATTTTAAAACTGTTTCATAAAGTTCACACATACGATAATCCAAACAAATATTTTATTTACGCATTGTATAAAAATATCAATTATTTTTACTATAAAAATATTTTTTCTTTTTTTTTTTATTATTATATACAAACAATATTTTTTGAAAGAGAAAAATATTTGAAAACATAATGTATAGATATAAAATTAAAATCCATTATAAAATTTTATTCTGCGACATGTATAAAAGAATTTTTGCTATGGGTCAAAATTGTTCCAGGGTCCGTTGTTTCACAATTAAATATCCTGATGATCAAATGAATGATGGAACTTGTGCAAATGACACAAACCTTATAGCACCTCTATGATCCTGAACACACTGTATCATATTTCGATACGCTTTATCCTCCGTAATCGGAAGATTGGTGTCTGTCACATGTTTCTCCTGTAACGCTCGTTCTAGTCGCGAGCTATACATATATAGGAATAATAGCATCAATCTCGGAGCTAAATCTCTCCTTAAAAAGAAAAGTGCTACTCACCCAGTTACGATAAACAGCCCGCAAACATGTTGCACAAATATCACGAATATCGCATCAGTCGCGACGATGGAAGTGACGCAAATTATAACAGTGAGATATCCGTGAATTAAAATCGGAAAATAATATTTGTCCATGTCGACGTAATATTCGACTATGTGCAACAATGGACGAGTCGTTTCATTGGCACCGTGGAAAATTAACGGTGGCAAGGGCGTTAACATAAAAATTACCATTAGTGTATACAATGTGTCTAAAAAGAAAATGTCAATCAGAGATATAAACAATTTTTAATTAATTGAATAAATACAAATTATTTATCGTATTGTCATATACTGACAAATGTAAATGATCGAGAATTTTCTGCCACTGTCCGCGCACTTTTGGAGAATTTCTATATCGCTAGAATTTCTCAACGAGTGAAAATCATCTCGTATTTGATCAAGCAATGCCCTCATCTGTATAAATTCAATTGTGTAAATTACTTTTGAGTAAAGGATTTGAGTTGATAGTATACTTTGGATATATTATGTCGAGAAGAGAGAGAGAGAGAGAGTGATACATGATAAACAAAATAATCGCACCTACCTCATTCACGCACAGTATGGAATTCACTACTTTTGTTATACCTAATATGTCAATCATTATCGGAGTAAGGCACTCAATCACAATGTCCATATCGTGAATATAGGAGAACATGCCGCATAACTTAAACGTGGTAAATATTATGATTACGCGGAAAAAGAATAATTATATCCAGCACAAGCGAGAATAAGCATGATAGTTTGCGGATTTATCTCTCCAAAATAAAAGCGATATAACATTAATTGCCGCTATACCTTCATAAGAAATTGCGAACAAGCTATAGTGGCTATGACGATGACTATAATATAGTTCGTCTTGGACGATTGGTAAGGCCATTGGCCAACTGCCGATAGCAGAATTTTATTCACTCTGTAGTTGCGACTATCGAAGAAGTCCATTTTCTTTAAGTTAATAGAGCACTGAGAAAGAAAGCATCACGCGCCAACTCTTTGATCCCTACCACGTCCGCTAGTCACATCTTATAATGTTAACAATTCTTTATGTAGCTCGACTTTTCAAACAATTCTGCCAATTAGATACTTATAGCCAATGCGAATGATTGCTGAAACGTATATAGCTAATTCTGTGGTTTGACGTTCGCCTACGTACAATAAAATCATCAAAATTTCCTGCAACTTTGTCTCTCTATTGTCTATCATTTCGATTGAAGAGATATCAATTTTCAGGACTTGCTTTTTCATCTCATATTGTCTTGATTCGCATATAAATCTTTCATTATTACGCGTCAATGAACTGAACAGTGTATAGAGAGAAAAGAAAACAACAAGCTGAAAAGATTTAATCAATATTTCTATTATCATGTATCGACACATATACACATAAACACATTTTTCTATCAGTAGACCTTGCAGTTTTTTTCATGAGAAAAATTTGCAGAAAATAAATGCTTGATGAAGAACGCCGAACATCGTGACATAAATATGAGAAATCGCAATTTAGTATGTATGATTACTTTTTAAATTATTATATATATATATATATATATATCGAAGAGATATGATAACTGAAAGAGAGATGCGATAAAAGATAATAATTTTACATCTATCTAAACTCGAAAAAGTTCCTTATCATTCAAGTATTCAAATATATATAAATTTTTTGCTCTCTTCAATTTTTTCGTTTGCTTTCGCGCATATAAATATTTTACAGTTATTATATGTGTGTGTTATTCAATTTTTTCTCAGCTGATCGGCATCATCTTCGCGCTATGTTTGGCGAATTCGATAAGGAACGCCGAACGCAGAGGCTACAGCGTATAAAAATGGAGCATCGCGAACATCAACACCGTTTCGGGTGGGAAACTTCTTAATACGCAACAACGTTCTTATTTATCTACTACTGTCAGCGTATATTCGCCTATAAGATATGTGATAAAATATTTACGCTTTACGTACACAATAGGCTAAATTAAAATACTTTTTCTTTTTTTCAAGCAGAAAACAAGTATGGAGCAAAGTGCCTCTTTATATTTTTCGAGTCTCTTTGCGCGTCACCAATCGTAACTAAAAAGCATAAAGATAATATTTCGAAGATATTATGGTTATCAAATAAAGAATTAATTAAGCGATGTTATGTCAGCATTATTAGTCAATGTATCATTATATTATTTTCGAAAAGCTTTTAGAATGATGTTTTTCTAAACGTTTCAAATATTATATATAAATTACTGTGAAATCTACCACGAATAATATGTAACACAATTTCGAACATTATAACGAAAAATATAATAGAATGCGTTCAGGATTTTGCCACGTGGGTATAGTGCCATATGGTTCTCGAGAACGATTCTCGAAAGTGTCGAAACTAAAAACAGCAACAGTCGATCTATCACGCGCTCGTCACGCACTCCACCCTACGGATAAAATTTCTAATTGGATGCTGTATTAAATAGAAAACTGACGAAAGCTTAATGACTGTTTGACGAGGGAACTTTCAATCATGGCTGCGGTTTTTAAAATTTATCCGAGATCGGAAAAATATGTACAAAATCTTCTTTTTAATATATATATGTATATATACATTTATAAACATCAACGAGTTGCATGTTGTTTGTCGGACATGTTTAAATGTCCATTCAGTAGACTCGATTAAATTACTTTGCTCGTCCGATTGCAAGGTGTCTTTCCTCTCCAGTGCCCTCGAGTTCCCTTCTCCTCGACTTTATCACAAAATCTCCCGCCTCACTAACACCTTACACCTTCCTCCAAACTGTATATCGCGATTCGTATAGGATTATTAAAAGTCCCCTATCAACGACATCGCAATACACACATGCGTACGTGAGAGAGAAAAAAAAAAAATATATATATATATAATTAATTTTCTCATCTAACATCGTCATTCCGCTTTTATTTCATTTACAAAGAAATTGAAAGACAGCTGTACGCGCTGCTCTTTCGGTAAAAAATATTTAATTTTCTGTCAGATTTCGATATATTTCATCATCATAAACTTCTCTTTCTCTCTTATTAACATATTTCTATATTTTTTGTCTCTGCTATTAATTATCTTGTATAAATAAAAGTGACACTTTCATGATTATAAAAATGTTTAACGTTGTTATATTATTATATTTTTTTTACTAGTTTAAAAATAAAAACTTTAAACTTTAAATCATCCTATCACGATTCGGATCTTGGTGCTGCCAACGTTAACGCGTATCAATCTTACGATAGAGCATCGAACACGAGGATTTTGTTTCGGATGCAATCTCTCGCGCGAGAGCTTCCTTCCGGCGCCGTGCGCATCTTTATCCCGAGATCTCCCGTCCTCGGCTGACCGACACCTTGCGGCTCCTCTCGTTATGCCCTCGTAGACGGATGCCACGCGCGCCAAGTCTGGGCCTGGGCCCGTTCGGTTCCGTTCCGTTCCGAGGGGTAGATCCCCGTGAGAGATGGATATCACTAATCGTCTCAAGGCGAATGGGCCATGATGGTAGCAGCACGCGACCGTTGTATTCTACTGCCTTTTCCCTCCCTTGTCTCCTTCTGTCGACATTCGCGTCATCCGCCTTTACAATTCTTCTATTCTACAGGGTGTTTATTCGATCACATATCGATACTGATCGATATTGTGCAAAATGTTCAAATATTCTTGACTTTTTATAAACGTATCACAGTGTAGCTATATTATAATAAGAATAATTGACAATAATCGCATAAAAGTAAATAATAATTATAAAAAGAAGACTGCGATAAGACGAAGAACACGTGAAATTGTTCAATGATATATTATCGAAAATACAAAGTTAAGAATTATACGAATTAGATATAATTTTTGTTTTAAAACTTGAAATCCTAACAAACGGAACACCTTATATATAT